CGTTGTTACCTCCCTTGTTCCTGACTTGCACCCTTCCAGCACAGCTCGTGTGTCACCTGCAGGTTGTGACTCATTCTGCTGGTCCTCGGGTGCCGTGTTCATGTCTCTGTGGGGTTTCTGTGTGTGGTTCCTTTCTTTTTTCAAGGTTGTGCAGATGTTACGTGGATTAGGAAACCTCACTTGACTGCTGGACACGTGCTCTGGCATAACTGCTGGTTTCAGTGTGCCACAAAGTCATTTCCAGACCTCACTTGCTGTGGTTTACTGCGTGGCCTGTTGCTATAAGAGGGTTTTTTGTCTGGAGTGATGGTGGAGAAGAAGAGTCTCACATTGGATGTGCTCTGGGCAGTGTGATGGGAGAGTCCCTGCTGCAGGGCAGCCTCCCTTCCCAGCTGGATCCACCTGTTCCCAGTCCCAGGGTGCTGGGAATTGCAGCAGCATCTTTCAGAAGCCCAGCTCTGCCAGTGAGGACCCCGAGAAGAAAAACTCTTCAGGAATCCTTCCAACCTTTGTTTTAAGAAGGTTGAAAAGGGCTGTGCCTGCTCTGTGCTGAGACAAGAGCCACCTTCCTTCCTGAAGGTCAGCTTATCGGACAGTGTCTCTATAGATTATCTGTGTATAAAAAGGTCTAGAGATATATAAAAAGTTATAGAATCATGGAAGCCCAGACTGGTTTGTGTTGGAAGGGACCTTAAAGCTGCTCCAGCTCCAACCCCTGCCCCGGGCAGGGACACCTTCCACTAGAGCAGGTTGCTCCAAGCCCCTGTGTCCAACCTGGCCTTGAACACTGCCAGGGATGGGGCAGCCACAGCTTCTCTGGGCACCCTGTGGCAGCGCCTCAGCACCCTCACAGGGAAGAGCTTTCCTTAGATCCAACCTGTCTCTCCCCTGGTTCTGAAAACCTGTAGAATTGATGAGTTTATAATGGGGTTTAAACTGGTGAAGTGAGACTTACAAGTGTGTTGCACATGTATGTATGGGAGATGTATGTATTTGGGTTAGCTGTAACCCAGGCTCCTTAATTTAAGGCCTTTTATGCCAGCTTTGACTTGAGGAATATATAACTAAGCACAGCTAGTTAAAAATATCTGAAGAACACTTTGTAAGGAACACACTCTGCAGCCAAACAGCATTACTGTGACAGCAGTGTCACGTAGGTTGAAAATTCAGATGGCTGTTCCTAACTCAGGAACTCAGTGACTTGAGCGTGTGTTCAGCACCTGCACGGATGGATGCAGGAGCTCCTGCTGTAGCTGCACTGCTGAAAGTTAACATTTTCGGTTGATGTCAATGTACTGTTGAGTGGAACAGCACAAATGGGAATCAGCTTTGTTTTGTGCCACTTGTTGGCTATTTTGGGGCAGGAAACTAGTTCTCAGAAGAGAGAGACGCCTCCCCTCACCCCCCACAGTGCTGCCTCCAGCTTGGGGCAACAGCACAAGAGGGACGTGGAGCTGCTGGAGCGAGGCCGGAGGAGGCCCCGGAGCTGCTGCGAGGCCTCTTTCCTGTGAGGGTGCTGAGGCGCTGGCACAGGGTGCCCAGAGAAGCTGTGGCTGCCCCATCCCTGGCAGTGTTCAAGGCCAGGTTGGACACAGGGGCTCGGAGCAACCTGCTCTTGTGGGAGGGGGGCCCGGCCCGGGCAGGGGTTGGAGCTGGAGGAGCTTTGAGGTCCCTCCCAACACAGATCAACCTGGGATTCTATGAAAAGTTTGGGATCAACATCCATGACTAACCTGCAGTTGGGAAGACAGGGAATGGCAATGTATGGGACATGGCAATGTATGGGACATGGCAGGTAGGTTAAGCTTTTTTTCTGGTCAGCTTCCTCTCACTTTTCCCTGTGTAACAGCTTGGATGGTCACAGATGAAGCCTGTAGACTTGATGTTCATAGGTGCACATAGTACATAGGTTCTTGTTCACAGTACAAGAAACTTACAGTTTTGACTAGAAGTGGTTGACCCCTGATGATTAAAAGGAGCTTGGTAGGTACAGAGTGGTGTTCTGGATGTGGTGCTTCATCACGATCTCAGTTCTGGTTTTGCTGGGTGCTTCCCCATGGTGTGTGTGTGTGATCTCTGCCTCAAAGTACTGGAAGTGTAACACCAACAAGTAAATGTGGTGTATAGGAGGAGAAAGCACTAAGGAGGCTGTACTTTGGGTGTCTCGATAGGTCATAGCTGAAACGTTCCCTTTATCCTCTTTTATTGCAAGACCAACGCATTCAAACAGGGCTTTGTTGCATCAGCAGCTCTGTCACAAAGGAAGGACTTGCAGTGACTTCCTTGACTTCTTCTGAATCTCGGAGATAAAGGCATGAAGAGGAAGAATGGTGTTGATCTGAATAAAAGCTCTCAGGTGGAGAAGTTATCTGTGCCAACGTCTGAAGCACAGAGTGGAGCTCCACAGAGTTTGTTATCAAACATCCTGGGTAACAGAGCTATTCCAAGGGAAAATAGCCTTAGTTTCAGGAGGTAATCACTCCTTTTCGGTTAAGAGGTCCTCAGGCACACACACATACAGTGAAGAGCCCTTGAACTGGAGGAGGGCACAAAGTGCATGTCAATAACTTTGCTAGTGAAAATAAATGAAAGGCAGATGTTTCTTTCACTGCGTTTCACCTTGTTCCTAAAAGCTTCAGGGTGAAAGTTCTGCTGCACGAGACCAGATACTTAAACATGTGATCAAAATGCTGGGTTTTTACCCTTCAGAATGGCTGAGACCCTTCCTGGGGAAGAGGTGGGGTTTTCTGCTTGTCTTCTGAAAAGGCTGATTCAGACGCTTAGATGCAGTTACGAGGCGGGGAACTGGCACCTGATCACACATGGTGATGTTTCGGGAGGCTGGAAAAAACAAAATGAATGGTTGGAGCAAGTGTTCCTGCTGCTGTGGCACCAGCAGTGTGGGTTAGGTTAAAAACAGCAGCGGGATCTGCCTCTGCAGAGTCGTGTCAAGCACAGATAACAGGGGAACGGAGCGTGGTGGCATCTCCCATCCAACTGACTCCACTTTATGAAACGTGGCTTAGCTTCATGATGATGTTACGCGCAACGTTTATCTTGGGTGATGCTTATCACCTTTCACAGAGCCCCAGCCTGGTTTGTGTGGAAGGGAGCTTAAAGCTCCTCCAGCTCCAACCCCTGCCCCGGGCAGGGAC